AAAAAAAAAAAAGAAAGAAAGAAGGGGTTTGCCTCAGTAAAATCATCTATAATAGCAAAATAAAAAGGGAGGGAGCAACTCAGTGTCCACTAACAGGGAGCTGGTTGGATACACAGGATGCAGCCAGAGCAGCACGTGATGGGCAACCACTGAGTTGGCATGGCATGGCCAACAGGCTCAACGGGATGAGTCATCAGGGAAGCGCAAAGAAAAAGCACACTAAGACACCACTTCACACGCACTAGGGTGGCTCTCCCCAGAACACAGGGAAACAAGTGTTGGTGAGCGTGTGGCGAGCCCGGGACCCCCAACTCTTGCTGGCGTAGGCAAAATGGTGCAGCTGCGTGGAAAACAGTCTGGTGGTTCCTCAAAAAGTTAAACACAGAGTTACCACAGGATCCAGCATTCCCACTCCTAGGGATAAACCCCAAAGAACTGAAAATCGGGACTCGAAGCCACGGACACCCACGTTCATGGCAGCACTGTTCACAGCTGTCAAAAGGTGGAAACCCAGATGTCCACCAATGGATGAGTGGATGAACAAAATGTGCTCTGTCCATACAGCGGAGCACGACTCAGCCGTAAGAAGGAACGAAGTCCTGACAAGCGCTACAACATGGATGGACCTGGGAAACATTGCGCTGAGTGAAAGGAACCAGACAAAAAAGGCCACAGATTTCACTTCTACGAAATGTCCCAGATAGGCAAATCCACAGAGGCAGAAGGCAGGCTGGGGCTGCTGGGGGCTTAGTTGCAGGGGGGATGGGGAGAAACTGTGTAGTGGATTTGGCATTTGATTTTGGAGGGATACAGATGTTTTGAAACTAGACAGAGGTGGTGGTTGCACATCGTTGCGAATGTACAAAATGCCACTGAATTGTTCACTTGAAAATGGTTCATTGGAACCCACCCTTCCCCTTTGGGACGGGGCGCCCTGCTGGCTCAGTCACTAGAAGCTTGCGACTCTTGATCTCAGGGTCATGAGTTCAAGCCCCATGATGGGTGTAGAGCCTCCTTAAAATAAATAAATATTTTAAAAAAAAAATTTTTAAAAACAAAGTGATTGATTTTATGTTAGGTGAATTTCGCCTTGATATATTTTGGAAAAAAGGCATGGAGGACCGTCCTGTCTGTTGGCGTCTGCGCCATCCACAGATCCTTCCCATAACCTGCTCCGCTTAAATCCCATGTCCCTGCTCCCCCAACTGCACGGGCGAAGGTGTCGGATCCAAAAGAGGCCATTTCCCAGATCTGTGTGAGATGACCTGAAAGCATCATCTGGGTCAGTCAGAAGCTAGGTGGCGGTGGCCCTGGAGGAGTAGGAAGGCCCCACGGGACCAGAGTTTGGGTGGCCGCCGCAGTGCAGGTGGGGGGAAGAGTCACCCAGGGAGAGGACTGTGTCCTCTCAGCCTTCCGTCCCCATGCCAACCCTGGGGCGCTTGGCTGAGTTTCTCATCACATGCTTTGCCTTCTGTGGCAATCTGTGAACCCTTACGATCCGCAGTGTCGTGGTGAAAACCGCAAATATGATGAAACTCACCAAATGCATTTAAATCCATAAATTCATGATTATATGTTTAAAAAAAAAAGCTATTGGTCACCTCAAAAGGATATTAGAATCCAACTCATTTTGAAAACTGAAACGGAGGAAGAATTGAGTATCTATCCTGCCTTTCCAATTAAAAACTAGGTTTTAGAGTAACAAAATAGTTGACGAGGGGAAAGTTCCCTGTGTAGAAGCAACCGAGCCACAAACAAAGAAGGACAGACAGCTTTAGAACGTCACCTACAGAATGAATGAATGAAGCAGTCATCACCACCCGACCTCATGAGCTACCTGGTGGACACAGGCAGCCCCACTTAGGAGGTGTTCTCGACGAGGTGGACCAAACTGAGTGCTGGGCAAGCCTGTAGATCTAACTGCCCATTTCCCGGAAGTACAGGGAACCAAAGAACATGTGAGAATTACCACAGGGGCGCAATCCACAAACCGCAGATGGAGGAGACTCTACAGAACGTGTTTCTCAACAAATAGCAAGCCAAAAAGGGAAGGGGAAACAGATTAAAATAAACTTGAGAGACCTATCAACCAATTGCAATAGGTGGAATTTATTCAGATTTTGATTCCAATAAACAAAAACCCGTGAGGTAATAGGAAATGGGAGTACCAGCTGCAGGGTGGGGGGTATTAAGGCATTAGTACTGATTTTTCTACTATTATGGATTTTGTAAAAGATTGTTATCTTTTAGGAATACATTTTGAAATATTTATGTATGAAATGATAGAATGTCTTGAATTTGCTTCAAATTAACCCACTCCGAAGGTGCATATGGAGGGTACAGACAGTACAAGATTGGCAGCGAATTGGTGATTCTGAAGGAGGATGGTCAGTAATGGGATTACACCATTCCTTCCACCACTGCTTGTGAATACGAAGTTTTTTTTAAAAACCCACTTCAAGATTTCCAACAGCCTAAGTGTCCCATAGCACAGGACTGGGTAAATTATGGCCCAACTATACAACAGAATACCATGCAGCTATTAAAAACGATGGTGTCGAACCACATTTTTACTGATGTAGAAAATAGGCAGGATCTCTGTTCCTGGGTGGCTCAGTGGATTATGTAACAGTAACTTATCGAACAATTAGGATACATCAGGAATCTGAGAAGGCAAATCAATCACAAAAATGATGGAACACAAGTTGGATCTAATTACTATCCAGTAGGTTCTAGGACAAGCCTGAGAACAGGAAGAGGGCAATTTTGGGGACGAGCTATAGAAAGGTTGTCTGAAAAGCTCATCATGGAAATAAAGTAACATCTTCTTGGCCGCCATGTTGCTGGTGAGGCTCAGATGGGTGTCTCCATGCATGGTGTTAAGGAAAGTCTGTGCAGCCACAGCATGATGTGAACTTTGTGCCAAGTTGGGTAAAACACGTTAAAAATCTTTTTTCTTGGGGTGCCTGGGTGGCTCAGTCAGTTAAGCAACTGACTCTTGATTTTGGTGCAGCTCCTGATCTCGGGGTCATGAAATCGAGCCCTGCATTGGGCTCCACACTGGGCGTGGAGCCTGCTTGAGATTCTCTCTCTCCCTCTCCCTCTGCCCCTCCCCACAGCTCGTATGTGCTCTTTCTCTTTCTCTAAAAACAAACAAACAAACAAAACACCTCTTCTCTTAGTGTTGAGTCTCCAAAAGAAAACATAAATGTTTCCTATAAGTTGTTCATAAAAAAAAAAAAAAAAAAACAACAGCCAACAACATATGGTTATGAACTCATTGTTGCTGAGGAAATACAAACACATGTGTGTTCACAGAAAACCGTAAGGCAGAAACAATTAGGGTGATTGAAAAATAATCACACACCATAAAGAAATTAGCGACACTGCGTGAGTTTTTCTGGGAGGCAGATATATCAAGAAGCTATGTTTGTACCACTTTTTCCACAGCCTGCGGGAGACAAAGCAGCATGTCACAGGAGGCCACTGGTGGTAATTCACAAAAGAAGCCTCTGGGAAATGAGACAATGGACCATAATACGCACCATGAGACCCAGAGCCACATGCCGAGTGCTTCTAAGATCAGAGAAATAACTATGATGGTTTCTTTAGAAACTGTTTTGATTATATACCCCCATGTGACCCAGTTATTTTTCTGAGTGTTCGATTCTTTTTGAATCACCCTGGACCCAAAATGCTCACAGTGGTTATATCTGGGTTATACATGAAGGTTTTTAAAAATAAACTTCTTGTGTTCTGTTTCAACATACTGTCTAAGGTCTCTTCAATGGAAAAGGATTTCTTGTGTAAAATCATCAACAGCAGCAGCCTCACAGAAACTTAAGAATAGCATAAGCCCCCAAAATAAAGTATCAGCAAATCAAATTTATGATACATAAAAACACTAACACACAATGGTGAAAGTAGAGTTTATTCTAAGAGTGCAAGGGAGGCTTAGCATTCAAAAACCAATCAGCGTTATTCATCAGGTTAACACCCAAAAGGGAGAAAAGTCATATAAGCATCCTGGTAGACGCAGAAAATTTTTTTTATAAAACTCAAACACTCTTCGTGATTTTCTAAAAAAAACAACTCCTGGGGGCAGCTGGGTGGCTCAGTTGTTAAGCGTCTGCCTTCGGCTCAGGTCATGATCCCAGGGTCCTGGGATGGGGCGGGCCCCGCACTGGGCTCTCTGCTGGGTGGGAGGTCTGCTTCTCCCTCTCCCACTCGCCCTGCTTGTGTTCCCTCTCTCGCTGTCTCTCTCTCTCTGTCAAATAAATAAATAAATCTTAAAAAAAAAAAAAAAACTCCTAGGAGGGGCCCCTGGATGGCTCAGTTGGAAGAGCTTGGGACTCTTGATCTCGGGGTTGTGAGTATGAGCCCCACGTTGGGTGTAGCAATTACTTAAAATAAATAAACATAAATAAAAAACAACTCTTGGTGAACTAGAAAAGGAAATTTCTAAATCTGATAAAACCTATCAACAGAAGACCTATACCAGACATTCTAATGATAATTACTGAGTTAATTATAACTTAACTAATCTAATAGTGAATTATTATTATTATTTTTTTAAAGATTTTATTTATTTGACAGAGAGAGACACAGTGAGAGAGGAAACACAAGCAGGGGGAGTGGGAGAGGGAGAAGCAGGCTTCCCTGCGGAGCAGGGAGCCCGATGTGGGGCTCGATCCCAGGACCCTGGGATCATGACCTGAGCCAAAGGCAGATGCTTAATGACTGAGCCACCCAGGCACCCCTGAATTATTCTTTTTTTAAAAAGATTTTATTTATTTATCTATCAGAGAGAGAGAAAGAACACAAGCAGGGCAAGGGAGAAGCAGACTCCCTGCCAAGCAAGGAGCCTGATGCAGGACCCGATCCCAAGACACTGGGATCATGACCTTGGCCGAAAGCAGACACTCAACGCGTTGAGCCACCCAGGCTTCCCACTAATAGTGAATTATTGAAAGCTGTCCCCCAAGACCAAGAGTGAGACAAAAATGCTCACCATCGCTACTCCTAAGTGACACTGCACTGGAGGGCCCAGCCAGTGCAAGGAAGCAGGACAAAGAAACAGATGGCTGAAGGACAGGAGAGGAAGAAATAAAGCATAGACAGTCCCAAAGAATTGAAGGTAGATTCTTAGATTTGATAAGTGACGTTAGTAGGACCATTAGATATATCATCAATAAACAAAAACCAACTGAATTTCTAGAAACCAGAAATAAACGGGAAATACAATTTAAAAAAAACAAACCTGAATATCCAGGAATAAATCTATCATAAGATGTAAAAGACTTTTTAGCTGAAATCAATAAAATGTCCTAGAGGAAAAATTTGAAAGACCTAAATGAATGGATATACCATTTTCATGGATTGGAACACTCCACACAACAAAGATGCCAATTCTCCCCCAAAATGAACTGTAGATTCAACTCAATCCCAATCAAAATCTCAATGTGTGCGTGTGTGTATAGAAATGGATACATTCATTCTAAAATCTATATAGAAATGCACATAGCCTAACGTAGCCAAGGCACTCCTGAAAAAAAAGTGATGAGGTATCACTTCCAAGATTAGGTTATGAGAAGATGGACGCCTGCATCTGGGGTTCTCGCTCTCCCTCCCTCCTAGGAAGCTCCCCCTGACGGAAGCCAGCAGCCCTGTGCAAAAGTCCCCACAGTGAGAACAGAGGCTGCCGATTCAAATGAGCGAGCTTGGAAGTGGGTGCTCCCCCACCAAACCTTCAGATGACACCACGGCCCTGGCCAGCAGCTGAGGGTTATCCAGGTTACCTGAGGCTGAGGAGTTTCCTAGAACTTGAGACTTTCCATGCAAAATCTGGGACAGTCCTGGGCAAACAGGGATGGCTGGTCACCTTGCTGACAGCTTGACTACATCCTCATGAGAGACCTCAAGCCAAAGGCCCCCAGCTAAGCTGTGCCCAAATTCCTGATGTCTGTTCTTTTCAGCGGCAGTTTTGAGGTAACCTAGCATTCAGCAATAGATAACTATGACGGCACTTCCCAAAAGGATGACGTACATATGACCAGCTACCCGACGTCCGTGCTCACCGGAGAAAGGTAAATTAAAATTATACCCTGTCACGACACACCCACCAAAATGTGTAAAATGTAAAAGACAGAGAGCATCCAGTGTTGGCCGGGCTGTAGAGCAAATGGAACTCTGAGGCAGTGCTGGTGGGGTCTAAAATTGGGGGGGAGCCACACAGGAAGACTCGAGTAGCCTCTAGTGAACCCGAACACACACATATCCTGGGTCCCACAATCTTCCTCAGATACACACCAAGGGAACGCATCATCGATCCACCAGAAGGCACGTTCAAGAATGACCTCGGCGGGGGCAACACCCCCATTCCTCGCACACAACACGGAGGACAGAACAGAGAGGAGGCAGAAAGAAGAGGTAGGGGAGAATCAGGAAGAAAAAGGGAGGCAGTCCTCTCCCAGCCACAGAGGCCTCTCCTGGCTCTATGGCTCAGCACTTCCAGCAAACCCGACTGGAGGAAACGAGAAACCATATCTGAGCTACTGAACAAGGGAGCCAGAGGGCTCACTCAGGGCTTCCACGGGCCACACCCAGAGGGCGTGCACAGCCCTTGCTCTCCCCGTCCCCCGACAACTATGCTTTTCAAAGCGTTTCCAATCCAGGGAAACTTCTATTTAAGCAAACTCTCGGGCCGAATCTGGGCATATAAAAATGACAAAAGGAGAAAGGCTGTAGCTGATTTGAAGCCTACCTCCAGGCCCTCCTACCAGCTCGGCTCCAGCTGGGCAGACCCCAAGGACTGCCAGGAGACCCAGCGAATCCTAGGTGCCCTGTGACTGGCTTTTCCCCCCCTGCCCCCAACCCCAAGCCCCAGGTTCCCCTCCACTCACCCCGGCTCTGGGCCCTGGACTATACCAGCCCGTCATAGAGGGACAGCGCCTGCACAATGGAGGGGTCTGCCTTCGATCCTTCCTGGAACTCCTGCAGGGTCAGCTTCCCGTCGGCGTTCTGCAAGCAGAGAGAGGCGGCTGAAGGTGGGGGGACAACAAGCCTCCTAGGATAGGGGCCTCTGGCCTGGACCCTGGACACCTGCTCCCCAAGCCCATCCCAGGACTGGCCCGGAGAGAGCTTCCAAATTTAGGTCAGGAAGAAGGCAGCGCACCTCGCTAGGTAGGAGGAGTCAGGCATCAAGAGAGACCCAGGCACTTCCTGGCAAGGTGACCTTGGGTACGTGACCCTGGACCCCTAACTCCATACTTATCATTATCACTGCAATGAATTCCCATAAATGGTGGTTAATCCCCAAGGGCTGAGAGCGCACTGCATTTCTCTGGGGTCACTCTTGCAAGGGCATTTAAACCACTCCCGGAGCAGCCTACACCAGACGCCAGGAGACCCAGTGGAGCTCAAGAAAAAGGGCTTGAGTGGGTCTCTCGGGGTAGTGGTGATTTGGGCCAGAATCCCTGCCTCTGGAGCATCTCTCAGGGAAACTCGTGAGAGCCAAAAAAAAAAAAAGGCCCAGAGAGATGGCTCACTGCGGGCCCTGAAGATGCTACGCGTCTCACACTTGCTCTCAGGGGCTCCTCACGGCCGCCCTAAGAAGACGCACTGCTCTTATCCCCATTTTGCTGGTAAGGAAACTGAGGCTTGGTCACCTCCCTAGGGCCCCATGGCTAGTCACTGGGGAAGGTAGAATTTACACCAGTCTGGGTGGGTGGTGGGCTCTGTTTCCCTAAATAAGGGACGTATGAGTCGGGGAGATTTAAGGAGCGTGTGGCCTTGGCATTAAACAGCATCGAACCGCCCCGTGACAAAGTCAGTATCCCTCGCTCCACACTCTGTGGATGCATCTTTTGATCAACGCCAAGAGACCAGCGCAGTCTGAACCTAGAGGTCTTCCCTGCCTCTCTGACATGTGCTGATCTCAGGCTCTAAGCTTTCAGGGCAAGCACCTGGATCCAACAAGGACATACTAATAAGCCCACTGTCAGGAGCGCCTGGGTGGCTCAGCCAGTTAAGTGTCTGCCTTTGGCTCAGGTCATGATCCCAGGGTCCTGGGATCAAGCCCCGCATCCGGCTCCCTGCTCAGCGGGGAGCCTGCTTCTCCCTCTCCCGCTCCCCCTGCTTGTGCTCTCACTCATTCTCTGTCAAATAAATAAAATCTTAAAAAAAAAAAAATAAGGCCACTGTCACTGTAATTTGTGTTCTTTGATTTAAGGCAAGTGATACTGGGCTGCCCTACCATCACCATATCAAATTTCCAATAAATACAAACTTATTTCACTTTAAAAAAAAAGGTTGATATAAACAAGGATTTCTTAACCTGGGATCTGTGGCTAGAATGCAGCAAGTCTGTAAACTTAGATGGGGAAAAAACGAGGTCTTTCTATTTGCTAACTTCTAACTGAAATTTAGCTTTCCATCTACAATGATGGTAGGTGACAATGCCCAAGAGAAACAGCCGCACCTGGGACCTGTGTCAACCGTGGGGGTCATAGGCAATGACGTGCGGGCATCACGTACGCTTGTCACTGCTTTGAAACTGCGGGGTGGTGACACCCACCACTACACCTCTTTATTTAATGCATTCATAAAGAAGCTCACAGAATGCTCTATCACGAATTCTTTTTAAAAAATATTTTGATGTCTGTATTCCAAAATCATTAGCTTCCTTTTTGATCCTATGGATTTGACTTGATGCACTGAAAACTGTTATTCTGAGAAGTCCAGAGACTTCTCCAGTACGTCAAAGGGGTCCAGGTCAAGAAGTAAAAACGGTTAAGAATTTAGCTGGGGAGGGGCGCCTGGGTGGCTCAGATGGTTAAGCGTCTGCCTTCAGCTCAGGTCATGATCCCGGGGTCCGGGGATTGAGCCCCACATTGGGCTCCTGGCTCGGCAGGGAGCCTGCTTCTCCCTCTCCCTCTGCCTCTCCCCCCGC